GACTTGGTCGCCGATGATTCGAGCCGCTCTGCGCTGGATGCGGTCAAGTGGAAGGAGCTGGCACTGGGTAGCCCCTGCCCAGAGATGGGAACAGTATTCCATGTGAGGCCGAACCTGCGCCTTGTAAAGTTGCAGGCGTTGTGCCGGCAAGAAATACTGTCCCGCTCTGCTGAGCACGCCAAGTTTTTAGAGGCCAATTTCGCCTTCATTTCCAAGTGACCACGAAACTGCACGTCACTCGATATGTCGACGCCGAGGATTCCGATACTGGCTGAGGCAACAAGGGGAGTACCTTGAAACTGAGAAGATACGACAAAGGGGTTCATTTTAGCGGTAAACGCGCATACTTGTGTCTTCTGGGGATTAAACTGGACTAGATTTAGTCGCCCCCAATCTAAAACTTTGTCCAGCAAAGACTCGACTTCAGACACAAGTTTGTTCCGGTACTCGGCGACGTTTTCCCGAGAAATATTGGCACGGCCGGTGTATAGAGCATCACCAGTGCTGTCATCCGCATAACAATAAATGCTACCGGTTTGCAACATATCATTGATATGCAGAAGAAACAGCGTTGGTGATAGCACACAGCCTTGTGGAACACCAGCGTTAATAGGCTTGTAGTCGGAGCATGCACCGTCTATAACGACCTTGATGCTCCGATCTGCAAGAATGCTAGTGATTCAATTGCATAATTTCTCGGCAAGCCTATAGGAAGGGAGCTTCAAAAGAAACGCTTTGTGCCAAACCCGATCGAAGGCCTTCGCAATGTCCAAACTAACGGCCAATGCCTCCCCCTTGGACTCTACTGCTTCCGCCCATCTATGAGTTAAGTAGACCAGAAGATCACTAGCTGATCGACCCCAAAGAAAACCGTATTGGCGGTCACTACTCAGCTGATGATCCTCAAGGTACCGCATGAGGTGGCAGTATATAACGGATTCAATTATTTTGGAGAACTAGGGGGTGATGGTGATAGGCCTGTAGTTGGACGGGTCTGAGCGGTCGCCTTTGTTAGGGATCGTGTGGACAAAAGCTGCCTTCCATGATTTCGGGACTAGGCCTAGGGAGTAGGAGTACCGGAAAAGACGCGTTACAACCGGTGCCAACTCCGGAGCACACGTCCTCAGCACAATTGGGGGGATTCCTTCAGGCCCACTCGACTTGTGGATGTCCAGGGAGAGGAGTGCTCTGCGAACCAAGCGCTGTGAGAACCGCACATCCGGCATGGAGCACTCACACCGCGGGATGGTCGGCGGTGTGTTCCCCCGTCATCAACAGTCGAGTTGGACGCAAAAAGGAAGCCTAAAAGGTCGGCTTTCTCTTTTGCGTCGTGGGCCAGTGAGTCGTCCTCCCTGTGCAGAGATGGTAGTGATGGCTTACAGAAATTCCCTTGGACAGCCTTGGCGAGAGACCAGAATGCACGAGTTCCCGAAGGAAGGCGAACTAGTTTCTCGCTAATTCTGCCTATGTGCTCTGACTTTGCCTTGGCAATAACTCTTGAAGAACCTGAAGGCGAAGTTATACTTCTATTTAAGTATGCTGGTGTTTACATCCCGAGTCGCCGAAGCCGCAGCCCAGGCTTGATAACACTCCTGCTTACTGCGTAATGCAGTCTTACAGGAGCGACCAAACCAAGGCTGAGATCTGCCCCCGATGGGTACCACGGATGATGGAATATAAAGTTCCATTCCCTGTATCACCACATCAGTAACAGAGTCAGCAACAGCGCTGGGATCATCCGGCGAGAAGCAAACCATGAGTAGGAAGCAAAGAAAGACCAAATTCCGTCCCAATCCGCCGACCTGTAATGCCAAACACGGCAGCAACCTGCAGAACGCAACCGCGAGGGAAGCGTGAGTGGCACCACACTCCGGATCAGACAATGGTCCGAAGAGCCGAGAGAGAGAGAGAGAGATGAGTGGCATCGACGGAAACCTGATATCCGTCCGGATGAGAGGTCAGCAGAAGGTCCAACATGGAAGGTGTATGATGCTCAACATCTGGAATCCGCGTAGGCGATGTAACCAGTTGTGTCAGACCATATGCCAAGGCAAAGTCATGAACAGATCTCCTCGCATGATCGGTTAAACGTGAACTGTTGTAGCAAGAAATCTGTAGCCATTTGGACGTGGTCGATGAGTCGGTCTGTTTCGGCATTACCGCTATGGGACCTATAGAGGCATCCGTAGACGCGCGGATGGTCGTCGCTGTCTACGCGTAGCCAAAGGATGGACAGGTTCGAACCTTTTAGACTGCCGAGGCGTCGAGAACAGATGTCCTCTCTGACGTATACGCAAACTCCAGCCCGAGGCACAAAGGAGTGCTGCAATTTGTACCCCGGGTAGGAGAGATACGAAGTATCAGCCGGAGAGGACACCTGCGTCTCTGTCAGAAAGAGCAAGGCCGGCTTCGCCGTCTCAAGATGGTAGTGGACGGCGTTTAGGTTCAAGTGAAGTCCCCTGATGTTGCAGAAATTCACGGATAGCGTGGCAGGGGTCGCCTTGGTCATGTTGCTCAGTTTGCCCCGAGAAAAGTTTGAGCTATGTTAAAAGTTTAAATATAGGCAAATATTCCCCCTGTGAGGCAATCTATCGGGGATGCCTATGTTTAGTAGTGGACTTTAATAAGCTGTTACTGTAACGGCAACGGTATTACTTAAATAGAGTAGGTAGGTAAGTAGAGACTAATGACTTCGAACTTACGGAAATATGAATTCAAAAAGTTTCTACTACTTTTTCATTTAGCACGATCTTGACACACCTCTTTCGCTTCTTTAGGCATTCATACTCTTCGATTAAGGGTAATCCTAATTTGGCCCATCTTCAATGTATCGCTAATTTGTACCGCATTCCTCGAGCAGTTATTTTACTTTCATATATCTCCTGCTACACCCAACTTTCACAACTATACATTAATGTACGGACTAACACAGCATTGTAAATTACCGTACATGCCTTTTTGATACATTTTAACTTCCCAAAATACAATAAAGAGCCACTTATTCTCTTTATCCTGAATTTACTCTTCATTCTATATCTTTGCCATGTCTAAAATCCTTGCTAGAAACATAAATTTATGATTTATTGCTGAAACATACCTGTGAGCTATGGTGAACCGGCTATACGCACTCATTACTTGTATAAATGATTATAGTTTTCTTCAAAACAATTATAGTAAATAGCTTTTTGCTTCCAGGAATGAGTGACAACGAACTGCTTTATAACGACCAATTTAGAAAGAAATATAGGACAAGATTAGGAGACTTAATAATTCAACACAAGTTTATTTTGGAGTAAGGTTTTTATTATTTATTTAGAATTTTTAGTATATTATAATTTCATTTTGCTTAAAACATATTTTGGTTAATAAGATTATTTTTCAATATTTGAAAGCAGAATACTGAGGTGAAACATTATTAACAATGACACCAATAAAAATTGACTGTTGCACTTAAGCTTTCCGTAAGGATTACCACAAAGTGACAATGCGATAAAATTGCATTCGTCAATGTGCCTGCATAAATCCTCAAAACTTTAAGAGTTTCATAAGTAAAAGTTACCTTTTATAATGTAATACAGTTTTAATTGCCTCACACAATCTGACAGAAAATTAAACAAATATTAAAGAAATCCACAAGATAAGTTTAAAAGGTTTGGCTGTGAATATAATATATTTAATTTATTTTGAAATTAGGAATAATTTCAAGTATAAATACGAATTTTCCAATTTAAAACTTAAAACGAGGGACTTTCTGAACCGCACACGGTTTTGGATCTCTTTTTTATTCCCCAAAATAAATCTGCTGAAAAGAATATAATTTCCGTCGCTGGAAGATATGCTAGCGGCGTCCGAGCAGGCCTAACTGGAAGTTGTTTCGAAAATTGGTTCAGAGGCATACAACTTTGTACAAACGTGATATGATAAAGATGAAGTGTTCTTTAAAAAAAAAACATGCATGAGTGTCGTGGAACACTCGGTTGGAACGAGGTTGCTTTCGGAGTATATGATTATTGAAAACGTATTATATTGTTACGAGCTTGGGGTTTGAGACAATTAAAAAATGCCGAATGAATAACCAAAATTGATAATTTAATTAAAGAACACTAATTACAACTTAAAACCACCCTAATAACAAATCACAATTGTACTACTGATCACTTTAGTTCGCAGTTGTATCGCTTCAAAGTATTCGCTTGTATCGCCAATTCAACACTGTCTTGGTCGTGGTCTATACCGGCCTTATATAGGGCCTCATATAGTTTCCAGAATCTTCTACTGTAGAAACATCTAGAATGTTCGAGTACATATCGGTCCCGAAATTTCTAGAAGGATCTTGACTCTCCTAGTTCTGCTACTCGATACTAGGCGCTAGTGGTAACTAGTGTTGCCATGTACAAGGCATTAATAGTGGCGCGCAAAATTATTATTGATTAACAAATACAAATATATGGATTACTAGCGTCTATTAAAATGAAGCGTCATTTAAAATAATATTTCTTTCACGGTAAGATAAGAAAAAGTGCAAGGGAGATGGATATTATTCCATCTCGCTCGCACTATAGAAAGGGTGTCGTGACGGAAAAATCTTACACTTTTTCTCGCCTATCCCCCATCCGTCATTCGTACCGTGCAATAAGTAACTTCGATCCAATAAAAACTTTAACTTTTTTTAGTATTGCATAATTTTCTGAGTGATCCACGTATAATAATAATATTAGTCTAGCCATAAGATATTGTGTTATATTTTTATAAGTTCTTGTTCTCTTTTTTCTAAAATCAGATTTGTAATGTGTGTATTATAATATAAATACTTATATCGAGTATATCGAAATAGCGGCACCATTGCACATATTATTTTTCATCATGATTTGTGCTAAAAGATCACTGCAATTCTATTGTTTTCACAACTTAATTTCTAATATTATTTTATATTTATGGTGAGTAAGTAATATTATATAAAATGGTGACAACACAGATATCTTTTTTCTTTAAGTAAAACGATGGAGTTACGTAAAGTCTTAAGTGGGCCGATGTTAGGACACATGTGTGGAAGTACTATACTAATATGCTCAATCGGTTATCAAATTGTCATGGTAAGCTTTAATAAATGAAAAAAATTTGCTAGTTGTATTATGTGCTTTTATAAAAATATTTATAAGATTATTAAATAAGAACATTAACACTGGAATTCAAAACTGGAACTATGCGAAATGCCGGTAAGATCTTACGACGTCCATTACATTGCATTATAATCATTTGGTATATACCAGACTTAAAATATCAACATGCTATAACTAATCAAACTAACATGCATGACGATTAAGGCACATACTCTCTCCTATAGGAAAATCCTACGTCAAGGTTGATAAATAAAAATAAGAGGAAGAGAGACAAAGTGAATAGTCGTCGTCGATTAAATATATAAGATAATAATACTCCACCAAATCTAAGAAATACCTTTGGACAGCTGTCACATTTATTTGACTAGGCATTCCAAATGAAAAATTGGTACCTATAATATTCGATTCTTAAGAGATCGATATCGATTCTTTAGAGTAAGAAATCATTTACAGTTTTATCTAGATCAATACCAGAATTGGCCCAGTTATCGCTTGTGGAGTAGATGTATTTTCTACAAATCCTCCACCTGCGGATCCCAGATGGTAAATTATGAGGCGCCCACCTTCTCCCAGGGCATGTGACTTCTGTCTATGTCTGCGGCATAGAGTGGTTGGCATTTAGCCATGTTTCATCCATGAATATAATGTTATTCCATTAGATTATATTTTTAATTTCTCGTAAAATGTAATTCTTTGCATTCATGTTCTAAATAATTATTTTGCGTTTGTCATATTTCTGTGTCAGTAACCAATTCTCATTCAAATGGTTCTCAATTACTTTATGTTACCATTGTATCTACTAGCCGGCATCTTCTAAATTTACTCGCAACTTCGACACACTGGGGTTCACAGAAATTATAAAAATAATAAAATATAACAGAAATTATAATAAATATAATAAAGAAAATGTAAAGGGTATTTGAATATTTTTACTGATTATTATCATTAGCGTGAATTAGAATCATTCAAATACTACGGTAAGGTGCATCATCATCATCATCATCATTACAGCCCTTCACAAGTCCACTGCTGAACATAGGCATCCCCCAAAGAATGCCACAAAGCACGGTCCTGAGCCACCTGCATCCATCGACTTCCTGCATATCTTACCAGGTCGTCACTCCATCTAGTGGGGGGACGCCCTACACTTCGCCTGCCGGTACGAGGCTGCCACTCGAGAACCTTTCTTCCCCATCGGTTGTCGGTTCTTCGAGCTATATGGCCGGCCCATTGCCACTTCAGCTTACTAATCCGTTGGGCTATGTCGGTCACTCTAGTTCTACAGCGGATATCCTCATTTCTGAGTTTATCACGCAGAGAAACTCCGAGCATAGCCCTCTCCATAGCTCGCTGAGCGACCTTGAGCTTCCTCATCCGGCCAGCAGTGAAGGACCACGTCTCAGTTCCGTATGTCATCACTGGCAACACGCACTGGGTGTACAGTCTCGTTTTCAAGTTTTGAGGTATACCTGACGAGAAGATGTGCCGTAATTTCCCGAACGCTGCCCAACCGAGTTGAATCCGTCGATTGACCTCTCGGTCGAAGTTGGACTTACCTAGTCGGACTATTTGTCCCAGGTAAACATACTCGTCAACAACTTCGAGCTTAGTGTTCTCAACAACTACCGGCATAGGTGTGACATGGACATTAAACATGATCTTTGTTTTGTCCATGTTCATCTTAAGACCTATCCGTTGGGAAACACTATTGAGGTCATTGAGCATAGTGCTTAGGTCCTCCAGCGATTCTGCCATAAGGACTATATCGTCGGCAAATCGAAGGTGAGTGATGTACTCGCCATTGATGTTGATACCGTATCCTTTCCAGTCCAGAAGCTTGAAAACATCTTCCAATGCAGCGGTAAAGAGTTTCGGGGATATGACGTCACCCTGTCTTACACCTCTCTGCAATTGGATAGGTTTCGTACTCTGGTTCTGTACTCGGATAGCCATCGTAGCCCTACTGTACAAGCACTTCAACACTTCGATATACCGACAGTCAACTTGGCATCGCTGTAGGGACTGCAGCACCGCCCAAATTTCGACGGAATCAAAGGCTTTCTCATAGTCCACATACGCCAGACATAGTGGTAAATTGTACTCCTCGGACTTCTGTACAATTTGCCGAAGGGTATGTATGTGGTCTATGGTGCTAAAGCCTTTTCGGAAACCGGCTTGTTCGGGAGGCTGGAAGTCGTCAAGTCTGCGCGCGAGACGATTCGTAATGACTCTCGAAAACAGCACGTAGACGCGGCTCAGAAGGGAAATCGGTCTGTAGTTCTTCAAGAGAGCGTTGTCGCCTTTCTTGAAGTACAAGACTTCTGCTCCACGCCTCCGGTGTAATGCCACCATGGAGGACGGAATTAAAGAGCTTCTGAAGGACTTCAAGTACCGGTTTTCCACCCGCTTTCAGAAGCTCCGCTGTAATTCCATCCTCGCCTGGGGCCTTGCCGTTTTTAAGGTGCTGGAGAGCCATTCTAATCTCGCTCAGACTGACGTCCGGGATATCATCGGAATAATGTCGGATAAGACTCGCTCTTGGATCGTTACTCACACTTGCGTGCGGCTCCAACGATGACGTGTACAGCTGCCCATAGAACCTCTCAATCTCACTCAAAATCTCAGGTGCCCCGGAAACGATGCTGCCACATTCTGTCTTCAGCTTTGACAGTTGGCGCTTTCTGGCAGACAGATCTCTGGCAAAGACTTTGGAGCCTCGGTTCCGCTCGATCGCTTCTTCAATACGAGCTGTATTGAATTTGCGTAAGTCCCGCCGCATGCATTTGGAGATCTGTCTGTTCAGTTGCCTGTATGCTGTTAAATCTGTTGAAGAATGTAGCTTCATCTCCCGTCTAACAGCCATGAGATTAAGAGTGTGATCGGAGAGTTTTTATGTTCTTCTGCGGCGGGTCTTGCAGAACCTAGCTCCGACCGCATGGACAGTTTCCACGAGCTTGTCATTCAAATCGTCCACTTCATTGCAGTCTTCTAGGCACTGAAAACGGTTTTGTAACTCGAGCTGAAAGGTTTCGGGACTTTGGATTAGAGCACGAGGGGGACGGAGCGTTGACTTCATTAGACGAGACCTCTCCAACTTAACGTTTAGGTTCAGTGTGCCTCTAACCATTCGGTGATCGCTGCCGGTTTTCACCCTCGCGATCACTGAGACATCACTGAACAGTTGTCGTCTGGTCGTCATAATGAAGTCAATCTCATTTTTTGTCGAACCGTCGGGGCTCGACCAGGTCCACTTCCTGTGGGGCCGCTTCTGGAAGAAAGAGTTCATCATAAAGAGTCCCTCTTTCTCCATGAAGTCGGCCAGCTGCTGGCCCCTTGGGTACCGTTGCCCTATTCCAAATTTCCCTACTTTCAGCTTACCGTTCTCTCTTGTGCCTAGTTTTGCATTGAAGTCTCCCATTAACACCGTATATTGGGTTTTGGAGGAATGCATGGCTCTAGAGATATCCTCATACATTTCCTCCACCTCCTGATCGGGGTGTGCCGAGGTTGGTGCGTAAACCTGTATGACCTTCAGCGAATACCGTTTGGTGATTCTGAGTATAAGGTACGCAACCCTCGTCGACACACTCTCAATCTTTACAACGTTGTTAATGAGAGACTTGTGGACGATAAATCCGACACCTCCTTGGGACAGATGGTCGCCCTCCCGGTAATAGAGCACGTTGCCGGATTCGAGGATTACCGTGTCCTCCCCCTCTCTTCGGACTTCGGATAATCCTATAATAAGCCAGCGTAACTTGTCTATCTCTTCTTCCAACTCCATAATCTTCTCGTCAGTCCTCAGGGTGCGTGCGTTGTATGTTGCCAGGTCGAGTCGTCGTAGGTGGCAACCGAACCTCCACCGGAGATTCTTAGCACCCCCTGCCCCGCCGTTACCATGGTCGCCACCGTAGCCAGGAATAGCGGGGCCGCCGGGGACTGGGGGCCGTTTATTATTGTCATTGCTCATGGTTGGTATATTGCCATAGTTGCCACGCTTGGCGAGCGGGTTGGCAACCGCAGTTTTTTTATAATTATTTTGGCTATTATCAGGAAGATGCTGCTGCCCATCTCCTGCCCGTTTCCCTTTGTCGCCTTTTACGACACCCACGGGAAGATATGGGGTAGTGGATATTCTTAACCGCCACTACACGGCACGGTAAGGTGCATAACGATATATTATCATTGAAACAACGTCATGCCTAAAAGTTGATTTAGGTTAACTTTTTTTATATTTTGCTTTTTTAAAGATTCTAATTTAAATTTGTGATAAAGAACTATACATGGTGTAAGGAAATACAGATAACTTCATGATTCTTTGTATTTACGTAAAAGGTTATTTTAAATCGTGTGAGTACGCTTGTACAAAGTTATTGCGGATTATTTTTTATTATTAGTTATTATTAATGTGAAACGACAAGGGGCAGTTCTGAGATTTGGTTGAGTTTTAGGGTTGATTTAGTAATTTTAAATTTACGATAATTTATTTAACTATATTTATTGTTATCATATGTAGTCCACTGGATATATATATATATATATATATATATATATATATATATATATATATATGTGTGTGTATAGATAATATGTCTTATGGCATTAATAATATTTAGGCTGTTGACGAATACAAATAAGACTTTATGACCTTAAAGGAAAAAAAGAAAAATTATCAAAAACCGAAAAACCAATCAAGGTTTATAAATGGTAAATCATACTGGATGTTTTAATTTTTTTTAATATTTAACTTTTCAATTCGCAGTCCCTTTCTGTAAATATCACCAAATGTGTGATGAGTTTTCTCTACCTCGGATATAACATGTTTATACTTTATATGATATGTCGCTGGTGTGAAGATATCACTAAACAGGTTAGTAATAAAAGTTGAAACAGTCTATTAACATAATGTTCTTTAATAAGAATTCACTTCAAAAAATAGAAGCTTATCAGTTCGACTGTATCTTTGTTTCTTATTGTATTCTATATTTAGGACAATTTCCTTAAGATTAGTTTACCGATTTAGGACTAATCTTTCAATCGTAAGATAAAAGTTATTTATAGTATGAAATTCAACATAAACAAATTATAAATAACAGTTTTATGAATAAAATATATCAATTGTTTAACTTTTATATTCAGTCAGGTTATAGTTTACTTGATAAATATATTTTATCTGACAGTTGATAATTTAAACTGCGCAATATGTATTAAATGAACAAATTATGCGGGCACAGATAATTATTCGAGCTTAGCCCCTAACGATAGGTTAGATCACATGACGGCTTAGATACACTGTCAAGGACACACATTGACAGTGTATCTTAGCCGTGCTCCGCGATAATCACAATAGGTTTAAACCTTAAACGTGTTTTGAACAATAACAATGATTTCGGTTTAGATTTGAATACAGGTACCACAATTAGTCATTCACTCCGATTACGAGGTTTAGAATGAGTGAATGTGTGTTTTCGTGGCTCTGCAATGGCTTGGGTACTGTCTGTGTTTATCTGTAATATCGAATTAACTGTCTTTTATTGAGCTTATGGGGTTATTTGCATGCCATTAATACATGAATAGCCATTTTTTAAATTTTTGTCTCTGTACGGTCGAGTCGGATTGCTATCCTATCATATTACGAAAATGAGATAATAAAGAATGCACCTGTGTTTGCACACGCACTCAAACATTATAATACTGTGCCACAGTCTATATATTTATACTGTGCAGCGCAGATAGCTAATCTATTTTGAGAATAGCCGCCGTAAACGAAATTCTGTCTGTAGGTCATTATAAGATAAATAAATTTAATATATTTCCAGGGTGAGGGTGTCGGATTCGCAGCATACTGCTCAGGATGGGAACGTGGTTATACAACGATTCCCGGAGTGCGCTCAAGTCTTTTGATAATACTTACACGCGCTAATAAACCGCTTGTGTTTACAGCTGGGGGAATGTATGACCTCTCTTTGGATAACTACTCCAATGTACGTTTGTCGTTTTTAATATGTGACGTAGTAATACGACAAAGAAATGTGTTTTATATGATGGTGCGGGTGCGGCCGAATTTTCTGAATCTAGGGTAATATACAAGTCAGGAATAGTGTGAAATCTTTTTAAAGATATTTCGTACCCTGAACCTACACTTATCATAACTGCGTTGTCATCGAGTCACCGTTGATTATGATAGAATGCCTTACAGCGTGTGTTTAATATACTGGATCTGTTGATCTATTCCCTTCAAACCGGAACATACTTGTAGTATTGCATGCACTGCTGCTTGGTGGCAGAAATCAGACTTTCAATGTAATAATGTTGCTAATAAACGACCCAAAACTTTCATGTTATATACAAATTTGGATGTCACTCAACGAATTACTCGCGGGACATACATTTGATGCACTTGGTTACCTTAGGTTCAGAATTTCTCAGACGACCTCTATATAATATGTAAAATAAGTTCGAGCGTGCACTGCATGTCCTAGATATCCGAATAATTTTGTACTGTGGTGTCAATTTCAAACAAATACTAATACTACTTCGCTTGCCTAAAGATAACGCTCTCAGACGTGAGTGTTCAAAGTGTAAGCACGATTTTATATACCTACGAAATATAAAAATGAATAATTTAAATATTTGTTGCCTTGACCCGAGTTTAAAAACTGCAAATATTAATTAAAGCGCCAAATCTTAACATTGGGTTTTATCTGCGGTTTGTTAATGAAGAAATAACACTTTTATTTCTTGAAAGAGCTACGTACAGCGTATTTGTATACGCGTTCATAACTGCTGCACGAATGGGACGGTTCAAACGGAGAAGGACCACTCTCCTACAGAATACCATTGTGAAAAAGCAGTATAATGGTGTTGTATTGCGAATGGTGAGTACAGAGAATAGACTCAATTTCACTGGTAACGAAGTATTCCATAGTAGACCTCAAAGATGACAACGCATCCGCATCTTAATTCGCATTTACTCGTTAAATTCTCAAATAAATGCCTATGTGCAATTTTTTTTAAATATTATTCTAAGCCAGCGCTTATCTACAATCCCACCTGATGGTAAGTGGTGATGTAGCCTAAGATGGTGAAGCGCACTGACTAAACAAAAGCCTATTCACTCTTGCCTTGAAGACACCCACATTGTAATCGAATGGAATAAGGATCCACTTACCATCAGGTGAATTGTGTGCTCGTTTGTCGCACTTTCTTCTATAAAAATTGAATTAGTTATTGGTAAATCATGAAATATATTGTTTAAATTTTATTTATTTATGTTATCATTTATAACTCTTTTAAACGATGTTTAAAATTAAAAGTCATAACGTAGTCGGGCTAAATTATCGCTTCGTTTTTATTTTGCTTGTTTTTTTTTTTCAAAGTATCTTAATAGGTTATCTATTGGTGTAACTAATTACAGCCAAAACAATAACTTTAGAATAATTTGAAAACGATTGAACTGCGTAGAAGAGTGATAATAATATCACTAGTATAAGTGATAACATCGAGTCAATGCTTGTTCTAACCACAAGCCTACCCATACCCGATTTAATGCTTAGCCAATAAGACTGATAGCACCACAAGACTTTTAAACCAAACAATTTTGTTTTTAACAAATGTTTGTTGGGTATTGTTGCCTCTACCAGCGAATGTCATTAAAGCACGTTCGAGTATGTTTACCATGATTTTAAATAGTGTTTGTATAAATTTGATGTTTTAATAATTTTAATGAAAGTACCGTAAAAACTAAGAAAGTTAAACTTGCAAAACCAAAAATTACCTTTTCCCTAGGCCCGGGTTGCCTTATCTGGCGTTTGACGATACAGACTTTAATCGTATTATAAAACATTTTGCACGAAATTTTATATTTTTTTATATTAAAAGAGTGATCAACGAACACACAGTCCACCTGTTGGTATGCTGATGCTGTGGTTCATCGACATTCTTCTATTTTGAATTAAAGATACATTGTCACCCCTGAGGAAATTGGAATGCCTCGTTATAAGTAAAAAGTTTGCTTCTACAATAATAATGAGAAACACATAATGCAGTTATTATGTGTCTATTTTATGCTGGTATTCTGTTAGGTTCTTTCCCAGGCGAGCCGATTCATTTACGCTGCTCATACTATAGCTGTAGCATGGCTCTACCACAAAAATAAATATGGAACTATAACTCCACACATAGTGATAAGATAATCCGGCAAGAAGTTAAAGAGGGGATCTACCAGTAAAGCAAATATTTTAATAAAAATAAAAATTGAATCAAATCTGATCCCGCTATTTCAGGTAAACGTCCTTAAAATGAGCTCAAGGTGTAATAAAGGATTTTGTTTCAGTTGGTGAAGACATCATACAGTGCTCTGACAATGTTGCTCCGATTCCGCAACGAGTGAAGGCACATTGCTTTTTTCTTGAATGCTGTAAAACTACACTGCTTTTTAAAATACAATGTAAATGTAATGTTATGCAAAGCAAAAATATTTCCACGTCACTATTAACTGTTTCGTTATTTTGTTTGAGATATTTTACAGTTTTATGGCTCGTTCGTACTTGTAAGTTAGTATTTTAGATCAAAATTCTAATCGAATTAGATACGTAGTTATTACTCTAATCACACTAGGCAGATTTACGACTCCATTGAAGCTTAAACCGTTTATGCTCTATAATAGCCTGATGAAATATTATTTTAGTTATTTTTTAAGGAAATATTTCAGATCCTAATCACAGAGTTAGGGAGTAACAAATATTTTTGTTTTACAATTATGACGAGGTTTGACGTTGGGATATAGATGGTATTGGTAGTGGGAGAAGGATGTCCCACCAAATAGTACAAAAAGCTTCATATAATCTTATGGATCCAACACGACAAAACATATAATAAAGTTGTGAACAGCTCCATTTAAAATATACTGCTAACAGAACACCCCTTTTTTATCGGGTCCGACATACAATGGACGCGAATTGGCCATTAGTTAAATAGACAATATGCACGATGAAAAAGCATGTAATAACTATGAAAATGAAATCATTTCGCGATTACCAAAAAAACGTAATTGTAACACATCATTCACATTAATTAATAAAATAATATTTCACGTTTTCTTTTTGGTTGTTTTATTTCCATTTACTCGTGTGAAAGGCGGCCCGAGAAAACCCATCATACTCCTATTTTATCGGAGAAGTTATAATAAGTACTTAAGCCGTCCAAGCATGACAAATAGAACAAAAATACTGCCTACAATGGGAGAGGTTTCAACTTTTTCTTCTTCTTTTTGTTTTCAGCAGTCCGTTACGACAAATCAACTGTCATTTGTCGTGATCATCACGCTTGGCAAGCGCATTAGTGATCGTAGTACAAAAAGTTCCTTGACGCTGCTCTCTATCGCTGGATGTTTTACATGTGGCATTCCTTTTCTTCAGCATATTACTACAGTTCACTGTTGGACATGGGCTTCTCCTACTTGGCACGCTTGGCAGGTGAATTATATATAGCATTACCAGACGTTTCGCACTTTTGACGCTGCTCCCCATCGCCGGTCTTGGTATTATAAATTTAGTATTTAATATTACACACGGAACATTTGACATTATGAGGAGGGTATACCGTCTTCAAAAGGAGGCTATGAGATGCCATCGAAATAAGGTGTGTGGACTCCTTCCTCTAATAGCTTAACACGTATTTATAGATCTTAATGTCCAGAAATATGCGTGCAAAGTGAGTACTAATATGGAGAAAAACACGCTATGTCCATCTGCAAGACTTCAATATACTGTACTGTACTGCGTAGTTCCAACCAAATTTGTAATTAATAACTGAAGGTTGCCCGGTAAAAACGCATCCATATTAGTCCTCAGAGGTGAGGTATGCGCATATGGGCCACAGAATACACTTACCATTAGGTGGATTATGTGATGGAGTGCTTTGCAGCACTTGAAATGATGGGAACAAGGATTTATCTAACGCAAAAAACTCCGTAAATTTAGTTTAATATGTTTCAATGTAATCGACTCCTTTCGAAACAAGATGAGGTGGTTGATACTCTTATGCCACCATCTCAAAGGACAACCGTAATTAATGCTGCTTTGTTGAGATATTCAAGATTATTTTAATTACACTATACAGATATTCAGGTATTTGAGTTACCTATATTTTTCAATTTCCGATGAGCGATACTTTTCGGAGTTTATTCTGCTTATATATAATCTTCTCGGATTTATAGGACACGAAACAGGAAGTTCAGCCGCAGTAAAGTTTATCTATTACAAATAAATTAATACTTTAACACACAATAAATTTAAACCTCTCTCTTCCGTCTGGAAAATTATATGGTGTTTTGTGTGAGTGGAATAGAAGCTATCCTTGAAAGTATTTCTAAAATAACTGATAAGCAAAATTTCCGAATATCCAAAAAAAAAATACAAAGAAACAATTCATCCTAAGGCATTTGCGTAAAACTAAAAAATAGGTGATATTAAACGGCGTAGTGAATGAAAGTGGTAAGCGTTATAATGAATTTATAAACAGTTTCTATAATTTTTATGCATTTAAAAGATCGAAATCAACTTATTTACAAACTATAAACTTCGAAGCGTGTCTAAATTGATATGTATCATATTAAATACGTCTATTACTAACTAGGTACTATCTAACACTTTGTGTTTCTTGCTTCTTCTGTGTTATATTGCCCACAAATAAGTCTAGAGGTATTAGGTTTGGTGATCTCACCGACCATTTCATAGGTCTACCGTGACCAATGAACTGGTCGGATATGCGCATACAGATCGTTCGTAATGAGCTGGACATCCGTCGTGCTGGAAGTACATTCCTTGCAGATGGCTCAAAGGAACGTTTTATAATATTGTGTCGATGACGAAACGTATCATTCGCAGATACGTTACTCCCATCAATCGACCTTCAATCCATATTGGACCAAAGATGTGGTCGTTAATGATCGACGCCCAAACGTTAACACTGAAACAAACTTGATAAGCATGTTCTTTGATTTTGTGTGGGTGTTGGTAACTCCACCAGTTCTCATTGTGCATACTGTAAACTCCAACGCGGGTAAATATCGACTCGTTGCGCCATAAAATGTTAGCCTGCGCATGGTCCTGCTGCTAAGGACAAAACTCCTTATGTGTTCCAGGGTCCGGCACATGCAAAGCTTGCACGCGTGAGAAATGATGGCATATTTGGATGGCATATTCATTGAATGAAGTAGCTTCCGTACCACATACTGGCTTACGCCAAACCGACGAGTGGCTTGCCAGGTGCTCCTTCTCGGGTATTATTGGAAGTAGTCCAATATGCCATCTTCAATATGTCTGGACAAGGGTAACTGGCTCCTGGCTCTGGCATGGCTGCCGGAACTAGCCATGATCACGTAAGCGCTGATACGTCTGTAATATTAAATCAGTGCTGGGAATTCGAGAAGCAGGGATACCACCTCTGCGCAACAGCTACAGTATGTTTAAACCATAGACTTAGAATATACTGCCGTATAGACGACCTGACAACCCGAAAACGTGTGACTAATTTTGATTTGTCATTGTGTTTGTATTTGTTGTTGTGTTAATGATGTGCATTTCACTTACAAGGATTATCAATAAATGATTGATTTCTTATATTTACACGAACACTACACATTGAATAAAACTACCCTTACGGATTTTATCGCGTTTCATTAAGTTATTTTATATTCCCGACGTTTCGATTGCTTTCCGGCAGCCGTGGTCACGGGGGACTGAGGTGATTGACGTCCTTACCTTACCTTAATCACCTTAGCCCCCTGTGGCCACGGTTGCTGGAAAGCAACCGAAACGTCGGGAATATAAAATAACTTAATTACACGCGATAAAATCCGTAAGGGTAGTTTTATTCAACGAAAAACGATTGTTAAGGAAGCGGTAAAAAGATTAAAAAAATAGTTTAGTGCACGAAATAGAATAACTTCAAAAATTAACTGAATTTTTAACATGATAGTTCTAAAATAATTAAAAAAATATTCATATAACATGTCCCTGGGAATAAGCAGAACCTAACTGTCATTTGTTGCATTTTAAATCAAATGTAAAAAAATCCCAAGTGACACTACCGATAAACTTAAAAACTCCCCGAGAATCAGATCTGGAAGTTGTATTTTGAAGTTTCATTCATTGTTTTTTTTAATAAATAGATACTTAACACGTTAATTGCCAATCACGCGTCGTCGCGTGTTCCCAGTACTCTTCAATTTGGCCCTTCACGCGACGTCGCGTGAAGTGTCCGACGAGTTTTGTATGAAGCGTATCGCCTGGGCCGGAGCATTATCGCAACGGTGTTTTTTATGGGCCTCTAGAGTAAGGACTGAGCTATCGTAAAGTGGGCGTGGCCATCCGAATCATGCGATAGTTTTAGTGCTACGTAATTGGTTATTTCGCTTAGCGTCGCCGCTCGAGCCGGACGGCTTTCTTGTTTGTTTTTAGTTAGTTGTGAACAAATAATACGTATTTGTTTGTAGTATAAAGTAATAATAATTATAATAAAACAAAATTTATAATGAGTGATCATCAACCTGGTACCTCTAGGTGTACGAAACGATCAAACGAGATACCTTTGCGAGCGCAATCAAAACGTGTTTTGTCGCACGAATCGGATATTCTTGAAGCTTTAGGAAACTCTGATGAGGATGATTTTGTGGGAAGTGATGAAGACGAAGATTTTTTATTGGGTGATGATGATGGAGACAGCTCAACCCTGGAGTCGGAAGAAGATGAAGGAGTTATATCACCGCTACCACCTAGTGAAATTCGATTTTCATCTGCAGAAAGGGAGGAGTTGAATGAAACGATTGAAGAGTCAGCTATGCCACATGAGTCTCCTGAACCTGCCACCGAAGGATCAACCTCACACTGGAGTACTTCTTGCTCGTCTATGAAACAAATACTATTCGTTCGAGAGTCAAAGCTGCATGTAGAACTGCCATCACATCCAATAGATTATTTTTGTTTATTTTTCAATGAAGAATATTTGAGAATGATCGTGGAGTGCACAAACAGATACGCCGAACGTATGAAAAGCTCCAGTGAACATCGTCATGCACGTATTTCAAGATGGAAAGAGTTGACCGTTAAAGAGTTCAAAACATTTCTGGGTCTTCTGTTACATACTGGCATTGCAAAAATGAACCGATTGACAGATTATTGGAAGGGTCACTGGTTATATAAATCATGCTTTTCGAAATAAATGTCAAGAAACAGATTTTTTATTATTTTACGTTGTATACATTTTACTCTCCCTGATGAAGAAGAACACGCCACTGCTAGGCGTCTAAATAAATGTCAAAAAATAGTCGACAATTTTAATAATACAATGAATAATATATATTATCCAGGCCAGAACATATCTTTAGAC